TTTCCCATGATGTCAAGCAAAGAGGCACTGAGTTTGAAGGTAGGCCTTGAAATACATCCACAGGTACACCTCCAATTGACTCAAATGATGTCAATTAGCATATCAGAAGCTTCTAAAGCCATGACATAATTTTCTGGACTTTTCCAAGCTGTTTAAAGGCACAGTCAACTTAGTGTATGTAAACTTCTGACCCACTGGAATTGTGATATAGTGAATTATAAGTGAAATAATCTGTCTGTAAAAAATTGTTGGAAAAATTACTTGTGTCATGCACAAAGTAGATTTCCTAACCGACTTGCCAAAACTATAGTTTGTTAACAAGAAATGTGTGGAGTGGTTGAAAAACAAGTTTTAATGACTCCAACCTAAGTGTATGTAAACTTCCGACTTCAACTGTATATATATTGATATTAGTACAATATATAATGATATTAGTGTTATATATAATGATAGTGTTATATATAATGATATTAGTGCTATATATCATGATATTAGTGTTATATATATAATGATATTAGTGTTATATATAATGATATTAATGCTATATACAATGATATTAGTGCTATATATAATGATATTAGTGCTATATATAATGATAGTGTTATATATAATGATATTAGTGCTATATACAATGATATTAGTGCTATATACGATGATAGTAGTGCTATATACAATGATAGTAGTGCTATATATAATGATATTAGTGCTATATATAATGATATTAGTGCTATATATAATGATATTAGTGCTATATATAATGATAGTGTTATATATAATGATATTAGTGCTATATATAATGATATTAGTGCTATATACAATGATATTAGTGCTATATACAATGATATTAGTGCTATATATAACGATAGTGCTATATATAATGATAGTGCTATATACAATGATATTAGTGCTATATATAATGATATTAGTGCTATATATAATGATATTAATGCTATATATAATGATATTAGTGTTATATATAATGATATTAGCGCTATATACAATGACATTAGTGCTATATATGATATTAATGATATATATCATGATATTAGTGCTATATATAATGATATTAGTGTTATATATAATGATATTAGTGCTATATATAATGATATTAGTGCTATATATAATATTAGTGCTATATATAATGATAGTGTTATATATAATGATATTAGTGCTATATATAATGATATTAGTGTTATATATAATGATAGTGTTATATATAATGATATTAGTGCTATATATAATGATATTAGTGCTATATACAATGATATTAGTGCTATATATAACGATAGTGCTATATATAATGATAGTGCTATATACAATGATATTAGTGCTATATATAATGATATTAGTGCTATATATAATGATATTAATGCTATATATAATGATATTAGTGTTATATATAATGATATTAGCGCTATATACAATGACATTAGTGCTATATATGATATTAATGCTATATATCATGATATTAGTGCTATATATAATGATATTAGTGCTATATATAATGATATTAGTACTATATATAATTATATTAGTGCTATATATAATGATACACTGCTCAAAAAAATAAAGGGAACACAAACAACACATCCTAGATCTGAATGAATGAAATAATCTTATTAAATACTTTTTTCTTTACATAGTTGAATGTGCTGACAACAAAATCACACAAAAATTATCAATGGAAATTAAATTTATCAACCCATGGAGGTCTGGATTTGGAGTCACCCTCAAAATTAAAGTGGAAAACCACACTACAGGCTGATCCAACTTTGATGTAATGTCCTTAAAACAAGTCAAAATGAGGCTCAGTAGTGTGTGTGGCCTCCACGTGCCTGTATGACCTCCCTACAACGCCTGGGCATGCTCCTGATGAGGTGGCGGATGGTCTCCTGAGGGATCTCCTCCCAGACCTGGACTAAAGCATCCGCCAACTCCTGGACAGTCTGTGGTGCAACGTGGGTTTGGTGGATGGAGCGAGACATGATGTCCCAGATGTGCTCAATTGGATTCAGGTCTGGGGAACGGGCGGGCCAGTCCATAGCATCAATGCCTTCCTCTTGCAGGAACTGCTGACACACTCCAGCCACATGAGGTCTAGCATTGTCTTGCATTAGGAGGAACCCAGGGCCAACCGCACCACCATATGGTCTCACAAGGGGTCTGAGGATCTCATCTCGGTACCTAATGGCAGTCAGGCTACCTCTGGCGAGCACATGGAGGGCTGTGCGGCCCCCCAAAGAAATGCCACCCCACACCATGACTGACCCACCGCCAAACCGGTCATGCTGGAGGATGTTGCAGGCAGCAGAACGTTCTCCACGGCGTCTCCAGACTCTGTCACGTCTGTCACATGTGCTCAGTGTGAACCTGCTTTCATCTTTGAAGAGCACAGGGCGCCAGTGGCGAATTTGCCAATCTTGGTGTTCTCTGGCAAATGCCAAACGTCCTGCACGGTGTTGGGCTGTAAGCACAACCCCCACCTGTGGACGTCGGGCCCTCATACCACCCTCATGGTGTCTGTTTCTGACCGTTTGAGCAGACACATGCACATTTGTGGCCTGCTGGAGGTCATTTTGCAGGGCTCTGGCAGTGCTCCTCCTGCTCCTCCTTGCACAAAGGCGGAGGTAGCGGTCCTGCTGCTGGGTTGTTGCCCTCCTACGGCCTCCTCCACGTCTCCTGATGTACTGGCCTGTCTCCTGGTAGCGCCTCCATGCTCTGGACACTACGCTGACAGACACAGCAAACCTTCTTGCCACAGCTCGCATTGATGTGCCATCCTGGATGAGCTGCACTACCTGAGCCACTTGTGTGGGTTGTAGACTCCGTCTCATGCTACCACTAGAGTGAAAGCACCGCCAGCATTCAAAAGTGACCAGAACATCAGCCAGGAAGCATAGGAACTGAGAAGTGGTCTGTGGTCACCACCTGCAGAACCACTTCTTTATTGGGGGTGTCTTGCTAATTGCCTATAATTTCCACCTGTCGTCTATTCCATTTGCACAACAGCAAGTGAAATGTATTGTCAATCAGTGTTGCTTCCTAAGTGGACAGTTTGATTTCACAGAAGTGTGATTGACTTGGAGTTACATTGTGTTGTTTAAGTGTTCCCTTTATTTTTTTGAGCAGTGTATTAGTGTTATATATAATGATATATAACCTCTCACCACAAACATGGTAAGGGTGAGGGGTGAGGGGGGTGAGGGTTGAATTAGACTTACCACTAAAGCCAAGGGGGTGTCCTTGTTAGGGTGGAGAGCAACACACACATGAGCAGATTACACACCATATCTAACACACACACACACACACACACACCATATCTAACACACACACACACACACACCATATCTAACAAACACACACACACCATATCTAACAAACACACACACACCATATCTAACAAACACACACACACCATATATATCAAACGCACACCACAGCGATACACACACCCTGTGCTGTCTGAGATAGTGATATGGAACTGGCCTGCTACACTAGACGCATAACGTTTGCAGAGCATGAGATGCTCCTATTCATTCCAATGAATCCTGGTGGTCTATTTCTATTGTGAAGATTTAAACGTGCAGCTCACGCCGCAGAACAGTAGGATGAAGTGGTTTGAGCTCTGCTCACGCCAGCAAAACCTTACGCTTCCAGTGTAGAAGGTAAAAAACCCTAGGGTTCTCTCTATGTCCTTGTGTAGTTCCTGTGTAACACACACCACTGTAACACACACACACACTTACAGGTCTTTGACCTCGGTCATGACGTCCTGTAACACTGAACTGTCTGAGATAGTCCTATATAACACACACACACACACAAATGCTCACAACTTAGTAACTGGGCCGAGTAGTTGAACTGTCACAGAATGACAGACTGAACTGTTTCATAACTTTATCATACATAAAAACAACAATAATGGGTTGCAATTGTTAAGAGTGTGTCCTGTTTCTAATGCTGTAATACCACAGCCCAAAAGACAGGGGGAGCCACTCACCTGCAGGGAGATAGGGGGCTCCTGAGTCGACTGAGAGGTGGGGAGGTAGAAACAGAAAAGGAAATGAATCATCAGAAGGACAGGAAGTTGTCAGCCAGCGACAGAAGGAAGAAGAAGAAGAAGAAGAAGAAGAAGAAGAATGTGTTCCAACACAACCTTCTTTCTTTTTCCTTCTGATCTGACAATGACTGGATAGGTCAAAGGAAGGTAGGCCAGTGGATTCTTCGGTTTCTCCTATCCTACCATGTTAGATCTGTGAAGACTTAGTGGAAGGAATAGAGGCAGTGTTGAAGTATTCGAACAGGGACGGAGTGAGAGTGGTCCGATTGCCAATAAAGTTGAATCAAATCAAAATATGGTGAACATGGCCTAAGACATGGCCTAAGACATGGCCTAAGAGATGGCCTAAGAGGTTAAGGTGAAAAACCAGTCAGATAGAAAGACAATAAGCAGAGATAACGGTTTTATAACGGTTGATTATTTTTACCTCGATGGCATCTTTGAACTCATCATCAGGCTCCGCCTCCTCAGCCTCCTCTACGCTTCCCGGGGACAGGTCCTACACACACCATATAATAATGATATACATGTAAGTTTGATAATTATTGGATAACACTGATCTGTAATGTTTTAATGTACACCATTAATCAAAATACACGCTCTCTCTCTCTCTCCTCCCCCCTCTCTCTCCCCTCCTCCCTCTCTCCCCCCTCCTCTCTCTCCCCCTCCCTCCCTCTCTCTCTATCCCCCCTCCTCTCCCTCCCTCCATCCCCCTCCCTCTCTCTCTCCATCTCCTCCTCTCTCTCCCCCTCCCTCTCTCTCCTCCCCCCCCCCTCTCTCCCCCCTCTCTCTCTCCCCCCCTCACTCTCTCTCCCCCCCTCACTCTCTCTCTATCCCCCCTCCCTCTCTCTATCCCCCCTTCCTCTCTCTCTCTATCCCTCCTTCCTCTCTCTCTCTCTCTCGCTCCCTCCCTCTCTCCCTCCCTCTCTCTCTCTCTCTATACCTCCAGGCTGGTAGGAGTGGGAGTCCGGTCCAGGCTGCCGTGGTCCGGTTCTGTGTGGTCTGTCTGTCCCTCTGAGGAAGGGTTCTGGCCAGACTGGAATACCTCCCTGAGGTCCAACACGACTACACACACAGAGGGAGAGGGGAACCAGGCTGTTAGAACCAAGACCTGAGTGTGTGTGTGTGTGTGTGTACTGACCTCTGCAGAAGTCTCTGTTCCACAGGAAGAGGGCAGTAGTGAGACAGGCCAGCACCCAGCCCACAGGAACAAAATACAGCAGCATCAATACAGCTAACATACCACCATAGAACCTGAGAGACAGAGAGACAGAGAGACAGAGAGACAGAGAGAGAGAGAGAGAGAGAGAGAGAGAGAGAGAGAGAGAGAGTTACACACACAGGCACACACAAACACCCCTAACCTGTCTGTCTGGGCACTCAGAGTGTCTCTCCCAGTACAGGAGGTTGTAGACAGACACACAGACAGTGTTACTGACCTAGAGGACTCAGAGTGTCTCTCCCAGTACAGGAGGTTGTAGACAGACACACAGACAGTGTTACTGACCTAGAGGACTCAGAGTGTCTCTCCCAGTACAGGAGCTTGTAGACAGACACACAGACAGTGTTACTGACCTAGAGGACTCAGAGTGTCTCTCCCAGTACAGGAGCTTGTAGACAGACACACAGACAGTGTTACTGACCTAGAGGACTCAGAGTGTCTCTCCCAGTACAGGAGCTTGTAGACAGACACACAGACAGTGTTACTGACCTAGAGGACTCAGAGTGTCTCTCCCAGTACAGGAGCTTGTAGACAGACACACAGACAGTGTTACTGACCTAGAGGACTCAGAGTGTCTCTCCCAGTACAGGAGCTTGTATGCAGACTCAGCAGACAGGCAGGCATGAGACAACAGGTCATCTAGCTGCTTTAACCTGAGGACACACACACACGCACGCACACAGACACACACATTTACATTTTAGTCATTTAGCAGACGCTCTTATCCAGAGCGACTTACAGTTGGTGAGTGCATACATTTTCATACTGGCCCCCCGTGGGAAACGAACCCACAACCCTGGTGTTGCAAGCGCCATGCTCTACCGACTGAGCTACAGGGGACGACACACACACAGGGATAGTAAATAAACTAACCTGGTTTTATAACCTGGAGGGACAAACTCACACAAACACTTTTGTGCAGACACAATATGTTCCGTGCAAACATAGACAATGCGTACGAATGTAAACACAGAGATCCTCAACCACTCCAGACACTCACAGGTCTTTGACTTCCATCATGGCGTCCTGTCTGGTGAGCTGAACGTTCTGCAGGTCCTTACGATGCACCGCGTGGCGCCGCCTCTTCTGTTGTTCTGCCTCCGACGCCCCGCCCCCACACCTGTCCTGCAGGTAACCCATGGCAGCCGGGGCCGACACCCCCAGAACACACACAGAGAACCACCCCACTGGAGGAAAGGAGAGAAAAACTGATTATCAGATTATATATATATATATATATCAGATTATTATCCACACTCAGTTGTATGTGGTAGTAGTTCATATATCAGTGTGTGTGTGTGTGTGTGTGTATGTGTGTGAGAACTACCCAGCATTAGCTCACCTTCACTCAGAGTGAGGAAGAGGATGTTGAGCAGTAGACAGACCAGTAGTGAGCACAGAGGCATCCTCCACCTGCAATACACCACACAGTCATACTGACCTAGGATCAGCTTAGCGTCCTCAAGTCCTATCTTCAACCAATAGGTTGGAGGAACTAAAAACTGACCTCCGATCAGTGTCTAGGGGAAACACTGACTCACCCCAGTAGGTAGCAGGCTGTACAAATCACACACTGACTCATGACTATACAGTAAACCAAATAAGATGGCATGTATCTACAACTAGGCTCATTAGAGCAGGACTGGAGCAAAAGCCTCGCCTGCAGGACAGCTCCATAGCCCAGATCTAGGATCAGCATACCCTCGCCGGAACCATTAGGGTGAAGAAACCCAAATCTGACAGGTCAGTGTCTAGGCCTTGGGGAAACCTCATCCTACTCCCTTCATTAGCCCAGTAGGTAGCGGGGCAGCTCAAAGGCCCAGATCTAGGATCAGTCTTCTCTCCCAAGTCCTATCCATGATCATTATGGGAGAAATTAAAAACAGACCTTGGATCAGTGTGTAAATGTATCCTCTCACCCCAGTAGGTAGCGGGCCAGCTCCAACGCGTCAGTGAGCGGCTCCAGAAACAGGGCCATCCTCTTGTACGACACCACCATGTTGAGTAGGTCAAAGGTCGCGACCTGGCGGGGGCCAGGGCTGCCCAGCTCTGAGGGTGACCCCGTGGGGGAACCGGGGGTGTCTTTAGGGGGGAGAGACACCAGGGTGTCATCCCCCCTGTCACCCGCCCCCGATCCACCCTGACAGGGGTCCTGACACGCCCCTACTCCAGGCTTCATCCTGACTAGAGGGGAGAACGGGGGACAGAAACAGAGGGGGGTAGAGAAGGGGAGTGAGAGAGAGACAGACAGACAGACAGACAGACAGACAGACAGACAGACAGACAGACAGACAGACAGGACAGACAGGACAGAACAAGACAGCAGACAGGGACGACAGACAGACCGACAACCAGAGAGAGACACAGTAGAGAGAGGAACAGAAGACACACACAGAGAGACACCCACACACACAGAGCTACGAGAGAGAGAGGACGAGACGGAGATGGGAGCGAGAGAGAGAGAGAGAGAGAGAGAGAGAGAGAGAGAGAGAGAGAGAGAGAGAGAGAGGCAGGCAGATAAGATGTTAGATTTTATTTTCAAGTCTGTCTGCTGCTCTAGCTAGCATTTCCAGAATATGTTACACTGTGCACACACTCACTCACTAGCTATCATAGTGGAAAGAGGAAGGGGGCAACAGTAATCACGAGCCTTGACGATCAAAGTAAATCTACCATACCTGATCTAATGACGATTTAACCATTAACCTTCTAATGCTACTGAGAAACGTGACTGCTGACTTGTGTTTGGCTGACATGGAGTGGGTGGGTCATGAAACAATATGACTGCAATAGACCACAATACGTTGTTAAATATGGGTTCTATATCACATATTGATGAAAATACATTGTTGTGCACTGTCTGGTTGTCACATAGCTAGTGTTTTCTAACGTTAGTGTCTACACAACAACAGCTGTCATCCAAATCGCATGTAGCTACCTGGCGAAATTGTAACTCCGATTAAACTAACCAGCTAGTGATTGACATAACATTAACATGTAATATTTGCAACAATCAATAATTATGAATAATAAGAAAGGCAAGAAATGCAACATTACCTGACTAGGGGGAAAAGTGTCAAAAAACGTAGCTAGCGAATATGAAAGCGATTCTTGATCGTCAACACGATAGCATCTGAATGTAGGAAGAGACGCGTCACACACGCCCGTTTCGACAGTTTTCGCAGACTTCTTGTTACGAAGTCAATCTGTTTTCGCTTCTCAAGTCGATGTTATTGAGTTGACGATGTTCTGTGCTGTAGAAATGGTGGGGAACGTATTTGTTTTGAAGCGAATAACGCCTGCCTGCTAGCTGCAAGAGAAAGGTAATCGCTTCCGCAAAAAAAATCCGACTGGTTAATAGATCGCAGAGCGAACCGATGTGGGAGAGAGTAGGCTAAAGAAAATAGCGTAGATGTCAGATCACGTCAATCTGAGGTCCATTTGTGGGTGAAATGATTAGCTACATCACTCATGTCTCTCTGACTGGAAGATTTTAATAAGATACTCACCCAAAACTGTGTAATGAAAAATCTAATAGCATTGACAAAAAGAGTGACTAGCCTGCATCATTCAGATTATAAATATGTAGGCTATGACAATTGATTTTAGAAATTGATGGTCTTGATAAATTCCAAATGGATTAACTTCTGTCGATAGAGCACAGTCAGTCAACAACATTCAGCCTATAAGTTAAATACATTGTCCATCCATGTCGCGATTGTGATAGGTCCTATGTGCGCCGTGCACGTTGGTTTGCGTTTCAGAACCATGGTCAGCGACAGCCCGCCCAAGAGCCTACCAGACAGAGTACAATTCAATCAGCCAGTTGCTCCTATAAATATATAGGCTGCCAAGCTAGAAGTTCATAGGTGATGTTTACACTCTATTCAGAGACAAATAAAATCAATAACTTTTATTTTATAAAAAAAAATGTTTACAATCAAAATCTCTTGGGAAAAGAGAGAAAGTAAATGATAGCCAATATTGTGGGTTACAGTCTATATAGTCTGTATGTAAATATGATTCACCTATAGGTGCAGGCTTCATTCAGCTAATATATGGGATATACACAAAACACCCTTTGGGTGGTGGGCCATTATGATATCACAAGGAGGCATGTTGTGACCTCATTTATTTATTTATCCCTTATTTCACAAGGTAAGTAGATGTCACAGCACACTCATAATAGAGTGTGCTGTGACATCATAAGGGGTTGTGGTGACATCATAAGAGGCGTGTTTACCTGGTCCTCAGACAGCTGGGAGATGTGGTTCACTGCAGCGTACGACTCAATCTTGGGGTTGAAATGGTTGATAATGGCCCTGAAACACACACACAAACACACACACACAAACAATTAGTTGAAGCATTGGTCAGAGAGAGGGTAGTAATACGTAAATCACAGAATTTTATAGAGACGCTCCATTGCTGTGATTGAATTATGTTTTATCTTCCAATATATTTATTAAATGAAGAAATCTAAAACTGGATGGGACCAACACTGCAGCATACAGTTGAAGTAGGAAGTTTACATACACTTAGGTTGAAGTAATTAAAATTCGTTTTTCAACCACTCCACAAATGTCTTATTAACGAACTGTAGTTTTGGCAAGTCGGTTAGGACATCTACTTTTTGCATGACACAAGTAATTTTTCCAACAATTGTTTACTGACAGATTATTTCACTTATAATTCACTGTATTACAATTCCAGTGGGCCAGAAGTTTACATACACTAAGTTGACTGTGCCTTTAAACAGCTTGGAAAATTCCAGAAAATGATGTCATGGCTGGTGTATTCTTGGGAGCAATTTCCAAATGCCTGAAGGTACCACGTTCATCTGTACAAACAATAGTATGCAAGTATAAACACCATGGGACCATGCAGCCGTCATACCGCTCAGGAGGGAGACGCGTTCTATCTCCTAGAGATGAACGTACTTTGGTGCGAAAAGTGCAAATCAATCCCAGAACAACAGCAAAGGACCTTGTGAAGATGCTGGAGGAAACAGGTACAAAAGTATCTATATCCACAGTAAAACGAGTCCTATATCAACATAACCTGAAAGGCCGCTCAGCAAGGAAGAAGCCACTGCTCCAAAACCGCCATAAAAAAAGCCAGACTACGGTTTGCAACTGCACATGGAGACAAAGATCGTACTTTTTGGAGAAATGTCTTCTGGTCTGATGAAACAAAAATAGAACTGTTTGGCCATAATGACCATCATTATGTTTGGAGGAAAAAGGGGGATGATTGCAAGCTGAAGAACACCATCCCAACCTTGAAGCACGGGGGTGGCAGCATCATGCTGTTGGGGTGCTTTGCTGCAGGAGGGACTGGTGCACTTCACAAAATAGATGGCATCATGAGGAAGGAAAATTATGTGGATATATTGAAGCAACATCTCAAGACATCGGTCAGGAAGTTAAAGCTTGGTCGCAAATGGATCTTCCAAATGGACAATTTTTACATTTACGTCATTTAGCAGATGCTCTTATCCAGAGCGACTTACAAATTGGTGCATTTAACTTATGATAGCAAGTGGGACAACCACCCTATATATATATATATACACAGTGGGGAGAACAAGTATTTGATACACTGCCGATTTTGCAGGTTTTCCTACTTACAAAGCATGTAGAGGTCTGTAATTTTTTATCATAGGTACACTTCAACTGTGAGAGACGGAATCTAAAACAAAAATCCAGAAAATCACATTGTATGATTTTTAAGTAATTAATTTGCATTTTATTGCATGACATAAGTATTTGATCACCTACCAACCAGGAAGAATTCCGGCTCTCACAGACCTGTTCGTTTTTCTTTAAGAAGCCCTCCTGTTCTCCACTCATTACCTGTATTCACTGCACATGTTTGAACTCGTTACCTGTATAAAAGACACCTGTCCACACACTCAATCAAACAGACTCCAACCTCTCCACAATGGCCAAGACCAGAGAGCTGTGTAAGGACATCAGGGATACAATTGTAGATCTGCACAAGGCTGGGATGGGCTACAGGACAATAGGCAAGCAGCTTGGTGAGAAGGCAACAACTGTTGGCGCAATTATTAGAAAATGGAAGAAGTTCAAGATGACGGTCAATCACCCTCGGTCTGGTACTCCATGCAAGATCTCACCTCGTGGGGCATCAATGATCATGAGGAAGGTGAGGGATCAGCCCAGAACTACACGGCAGGACCTGGTCAATGACCTGAAGAGAGCTGGGACCACAGTCTCAAAGAAAACCATTAGTAACACACTACGCAGTCATGGATTAAAATCCTGCAGCGCACGCAAGGTCCCCCTGCTCAAGCCAGCGCATGTCCAGGCTCGTCTGAAGTTTGCCAATGACCATCTGGATGATCCAGAGGAGGAATGGGAGAAGGTCATGTGGTCTGATGAGACAAAAATATAGCTTTTTGGTCTAAACTCCACTCGCCGTGTTTGGAGGAAGTAGAAGGATGAGTACAACCCCAAGAACACCATCCCAACCGTGAAGCATGGAGGTGGAAACATAATTCTTTGGGGATGCTTTTCTGCAAAGGGGACAGGACGACTGCACCGTATTGAGGGGAGGATGGATGGGGCCATGTATCGCGAGATCTTGGCCAACAACCTCCTTCCCTCAGTAAGAGCATTGAAGATGGGTCGTGGTTGGGTCTTCCAGCATGACAACGACCTGAAACACACAGCCAGGGCAACTAAGGAGTGGCTCCGTAAGAAGCATCTCAAGGTCCTGGAGGGGCCTAGCCAGTCTCCAGACCTGAACCCAATAGAAAATCTTTGGAGGGAGCTGAAAGTCCGTATTGCCCAGCGACAGCCCCGAAGCCTGAAGGATCTGGAGAAGATCTGTATGGAGGAGTGGGCCAAAATCCCTGCTGCAGTGTGTGCAAACCTGGTCAAGACCTACAGGAAGAGTATGATCTCTGTAATTGCAAACAAAGGTTTCTGTACCAAATATTAAGTTCTGCTTTTCTGATGTATCAAATACTTCTGTCATGCAATAAAATGCAAATTAATTACTTAAAAATCATACAATGTGATTTTCTGGATTTTTGTTTTAGATTCCATCTCTCACAGTTGAAGTGTACCTATGATAACAATTACAGACCTCTACATGCTTTGTAAGTAGAACAACCTGCAAAATCGGCAGTGTATCAAATACTTGTTCTCCCCACTGTATATATATATATATATATATATATTATTTTTATTTTTTATTTTATTTTTTATGGGGGGGTGGGGGATGGGGGGTAGAAGGATTACTTTTATACTATTCCAAGTATTCCTTAAAGAGGTAGGGTTTCAAGTGTCTCCGGAATGTGGTCAGTGACTCCGCTGTCCTGGTGTCGTGGGGGAGCTTGTTCCACCATTGGGTTGCCAGAGCAGCGAATAGTTTTGACTGGGTTGAGCGGGAACTGTGCTTCCGTAGAGGTAGGGGGGCTAGCAGGCTTAAGGACAACAAAGTCAAGGTATTGGAGTGGCCATCACAAAGCCCTGACCTCAATCCTATAGAAAATGTGTGGGCAGAACTGAAAAAGCGTGTGCGAGCAAGGAGGCCTACAAACCTGACTCAGTTACACCAGCTCTGTCAGGAGGAATGGGCCAAAATTCACCCAACTTATTGTGAGTAGCTTGTGGAAGCCTACCCGACACGTTTGACCCAAGTTAAACAATTTAAAGGCAATGCTACCAAATACTAATTGAGTGTATGTAAACTTCTGACCCACTGTGATTGTGATGAAAGAAATAAAAGCTGAAATAAATCATTCTCTCTACAATTATTCTGACATTTCACATTCTTAAAATAAAGCTGTGATCCTAACTGACTTAAGACAGGGAATTTTTACTAGGATTAAATGTCAGGAATTGTGAAAAACTGAGTTTAAATGTATTTGGCTATGGTGTATGTAAACTTCCGACTTCAACTGTACACAAAACACCCTTTGGGTGGTGGGCCATGCTTGATACACATGGGAAACTGTTGAGCGTAAAAAACCCAGCAGTGTTGCAGTTCTTGACACACTCAAACAGGTGCGCCTGGCACCTACCACCATCCCCCGTTCAAAGGCACTTAAATATTTGGTCTTACACATTCACCCTCTGAATGTCACACATACACAATCCATGTCTCAATTGTCTCAAGGCTTAAAAATCCTTCTTTAACCTGTCTCCTCCCCTTTCATCTACACCGATGGAAGTGGATTTAACAAGTGACATCAGTAAAGGATCATAGCTTTCACCTGGATTCACCTGGGCAGTCTATGTCATGGAAAGAGAAAAGAGCAGGTGTTCATGTTTTGTACACTCAGTGTCTACATACAGGACACGCACACCTCTGAGAATCACGCAACGCTGCTGGGCTGGCTAAAGGCACAGTAGGGTCACACATGCCGCTTTGAATGGGTCCGTTGTGTGAATAGGACATGCAGACACGAATAACGGACTGAGTCTTTAAAAAAAAAAAATGAAAATGAAGACGTCTTCACAAATCGTGATGTTATCAGGAGGAGAAAAGATATTCCATGCTCCAATAATCACTGACCAGCCTATTTCTCTTTCTCTCTCTCTCTCTCTCTCTCTCTCTCTCTCTCTCTCTCTTTCTCTCTCTCTTCTCTCTCTCTCTCTCTCTCTCTCTCTCTCTCTCTCTCTCTCTCTCTCTCTCTCTCTCTCAATTCAATTCAATTCAAAGGGATTTATTGGCATGTGAATCATATGTTTATATTGCCAAAGCAAGTGAAATGGATAATAAACAAAAGTGAAATCTCTCTCTCTCTGTCTATGTCGTGCAGCTCACCATTTGCATTTTTTGTGATACCGGGAGCACGTCAGCTGGTGCGTGGTAGCTGCAGTGTTAGTAATAACGGACAGCATTACTGTGCAGTCACGGAGGACCGTCTCTCGCGGTTGACGGGTCCCGGTCCGTT